GAGGTCCAGAGTTGAATCCCCGGCTTCTGCGAGTCTCCAGGAATAAGAAGAAATGTGTAGAGACTGGGCAGGTCAGGGAAGGAGGAGAGGAAGAGACCATCACTCACCAGCACCGCAGGACGTGGGGTGGAGAATGTGGTGGGGCTGCCCACGGCGGCGGAATCCACATAGTAGCTCATTCTGTGCTTCACACCTGTGCAGAAGAAAAGATTGACTGAGCCTCTGGCTATACATGGGCGGAGGGACATTAACACACACACACACACACCCAAGGCATCCAAATCTTAGACCCCTGGCATCTCCCCAGGAGCCAACTTCTTAGCTTCTTTTGAGACTGAAAAGTAAACAGGATTCAGAAAGGTAGGAAACCTAACCCAGAGAAGGACAAGGTGGGACAGACCCTAGCCGCGACCAGCCAGCGTGGGTCACAGATCACATCTGTGTGCTGCAGAACATGACAGGGTCTAAAAAGAAGATTCCTTTGACAGGATTTCTGGGCAAGGACCAAGTCTTGAGTGTCTTTTAAAATAAAATCTCCATGCATGTTTCACATGCCCCCAACTCCACCCAGACCTGGCACGCAGCAGGAATTCCATATGGAGTAAATAAATTATTGATAGAAACATTTACAGAGGCTGCATTAGAGAAAGGAAAGGAAAAAGCTTCCACAAGGCGCCTCCAGCCCCAGGCACAGGAGACAGGCAGAAGCTCGTAAAACAGGCTGGACAAATTTATTTGATATCAAGAGAAGGGCTAGAAAAATCATTCTCGCTGAGAGCTATTATCTGTATTGGAGGCCTGAATGAGAAGAATGTTCTGGAATGTTCTAACTTAGAGGGATTTTTCCAACGAGCTGCCGGTCACCAAGAAAATCATTGGTATATCAAACATTTCTGTTGAGTTGAGTGCTCTCCAGAGTGCAAAAGTTCACACACTTTCATAAATTCAATACTACACATGAAAACATGCCTCTCTTGAATGATTGAGAAGATTACATTCCGGGGCCTATCGTTCAGAGGCCAAATTCCTATTGTTGGGAAGTGACATTTCATCCTAGCTGCTCTCCAGCTCCTGTCTGCCGTTGCCCCTTCATTCCTGTGTATGCCCAAATCAATCAACCTATTTCAAGAAAACACAGAAAGTTCAGAGATGGGTTGTGTGTTCAATCGCAATTCCAATTCACTATCTTAATAGTCAACGGCATACCCACATTCACAGAAATTGTAGTCCGGGCTCGGCAATAAGCAATCCTGCTCACCAAGGGCTTGACCGCTACAGCCACAGGGTCAGTTAGGTGAGAAATTTGAGCTTATAAGGCAGAACTTATCATAGAGCTGTAGGGTTTTGCTTTGAAGTAAAGTACCTTATTAAGATGTCTTTCCTCCTCTCTCTTCTCCATCCCTCACCCCGCCCCAGCAACGCCTGGGGCAAGTCCTGGGGTCATAAAAGCCTGAGAGCTCTCCCTGACCCCCAGCAGCTGCAGCCCTCCAGAAAGCCTGAGAGCCTCTCCGTCCCACACCAGCACAATAGAGTTAACCCTGTTAGCGCAGGTGTGAGTGAGCCAGCCCTGAGGCTGTGAGCATGGGAGGCTCTCCCCACTTCACATCAGTCTTGTGGTGGCATGGGTGGGGGAATGAATCCCTCCAGCCTGCCCATCAATGCCTGAGGAGGTGCGAGAGCTGCGCCTGTGGTCATAAGAGTGGGGGAACTATCCCTGACCGCCACCAGCTGCAACACTTAGAAGAGCAGGCCCTGCACCTCACCAGGGCAGCAGAAGAGAGCCAGCCCTGTCCGAGTGGGTGTGGGTGAGTCAGCCCTGAAGGCTGTGAGCATGGGAGAGCTGACCCTATTTCTCATCTGGCTGACCAACCCTGCAGCTGCCCAGGCCCAGACCCAGTATCATGGCTTGGCTGACCCCATCCTCCTCCTCATCTATGATCTGCTGAAGCACCTGACCTGTGCCCAGTGCTGCAGGATCTCCACAACACAGGGCAACAACAGGATATTCAGGAAGGGGGGTCTAGCGAGGGCCCAGGGTTGGACGGGTAGTAGGAACCAGAGGCCTCTAACCAGACCAATGACTCTGCAATGAACACCTGGGAGTAAAGATACAAGGACAAAGGGGTTCACGACGTGACTCACTGTGTCACACTACAGTTTCCATGACAAGATTTTTAAGTCTTTTCCCTTTTTATTTATTTTTTCTTTTAATTTTTTTTTTTTAATTTGGGGAGTGTGCAGAGGCAGAGAGCAAATGTGAAGGGCAGGGAAATGAATGGGATCAAGGTGCATGATGTCAAAGATACAGAAAAATAAGCTAATTAATGAATTTAAAAAGACGTCTTACCTCCTCAAAGTACAGGATAACCCAAATAACATTAGCCAAAAACTAACAAATAAACAAAAATCAGTTAAGTAAGAGTTCTAGGTCGCTAGGTTAGGCACACTACTTAAGGTTTCATCCTTGTTTCTGCGGCAGCTGATGGGCCCAGGAAGAGCTCCTTAGAAGAGACGCTGAAGGACTGAAAAAGATCCAGGATGCCCGGTCCAAGAACGTTGCTTTTACCTGTCTGTCTCCTCTGGCCCATTCAGTGCTTTTGCTACAATTAGTGGGCAGCTCCATGTCTCAGACTGAGAATTAGATACAGACAACATGGGTCCCCATGGGTCTGTCCCAGCCAGGTGCGGGATGATAGTGTCCAGATACTCAGCGGCCCCTCCCTCGCTGAAGCATTCCCTCTTACTAGTTTTTGTTTTTATTTTCATCTGAAAATTAACTTCAAAGCTCTTAACAAAGCACCTTCAAAATGCACAGACCTATACAAGGATGAGACCCAAAAGCTACATTGACCACGCCACACTGCAAATGGTTTATCATGATGAAAGTCCCTGAAGAAAAGCCGGCCAGCCCTCCAGGGTCCTGCAGGATGATTTGTACCTTTGTACTGGGAACATTCAGGAGTGAGGGAATGCTACTTCACGGGGAGTCATCCGACCTTCTGGTGTCCCTGCAGGCCTGGCCTCCCTCTCACAACTCCACAGCAGGCTCTATTAGGAATCTATTTATTCCTTCAATGGTTCCTCTACGCCTCCTATGAAGCAATGCGCAGGGCCCTTGGGACATTCTAGTAAATACAGATTCCTGACCTCCTGGCCCCTGGCTTCTAACAGGGAGCAGAGGGCTGAGAAAGACAGAGTCTGGAGCCTGTGGCTTCAGAAGTGGAGAAGACAAATTCACATGCAACTCTATCACACTGTGATCAGTAGTTTGCCAAAAAAAAATATGGAAATATAAGCAGTGGTTGGTTCTGCGGAGCACTTGGAATAGGGAGTCATGGACGACCGCAGAGGGAGATGCGACAGCATGGTCCTGTGAATCACTTAGACTCCCTCAGCAGCAATGGACCTACACCCTTCTGAATGTCCAGTTCACTTCCATATTCACAAGAGAAAGAACTTTGCGAATTGGCAGCACTGTGCCAGAGCCCAGCTCCAAGACAACAAGAGTTTCTGTCTGCCAGCCAGACAGCGCTCCCCTTCATAGCAACACACTTGGAACAAGGACCAGTGGAAACATGTTTTCGCTTCCAGTGGACGGAGGGAGGGAGGGAACCTCTGGCCGAACATCTGGTGCGTTCTGTGCTGGACCATCCTCTCCACAGCATGAATGACACTTCCCTTGGGGAAAAGCCCTTTGCCCAGGGAGGAAACTAAAAAGAAGGAGTTGCCAGGGATCTCAAGGGCTCTCATCGCAGGAAATAACTCTGAGACAGAAAGCGATTGCTGCTTTATTATTTTTTTGGAGAAAGAAAAAAAGAACCTGCCCCTTTTCCAACTTGTAGATCGTGACACAGAACAGCTGCTGGAGACCTAACCCTTTCTGAAGATGCAAAAGGGGTGTGTGTGTGTGTGTGTGTGTGTGTGTGTGTGTGTGTGTATCTGTGGGTGTGTGAGTTCTTTCCCCCCTTGGCTTTTTGGCCAACAGGAACTCCCTCCCACATGACAACTTCTTGAACATCAACCCTACTTGAACATTTTGTCTTGGTTTTGCACATGTGTATTACCTAAATAGAAAACAACTGTGTGATTTTGAGCCTTACTGAGCAGCTGAGAGGCAGCCCTGAGCCCTGTCTCAGGCAGGGATGATGGGAATGTATGGGAACAGTGGGCCATGCAGAGCTAAATTCATTTTTCCTCAATGGAACTAGCTAGCAAGTGAGACTACAAAGCCATCCTCCCAACCTTCCACCCCCCACAGAGCCCTGCGGTAGCCTCCAAAGCCTTCCACTGCTGTACCTCAGTTTCTCCCTCTGCTGCACTTCTTGGATCGCCATGTTTCTGGAAATGCCCTCTGTCCTCCAGTTCCTTCAGAACTGTGAGTCCCACGTCTCCTGAGGTCTCCAGGCCCGTGTCAGACCCTGTGCCCCCACCCCACTCTTCACCCCAGCAGGAGCGAGCTACTCCCTTCCGACAGTCGCCAGCGTATTATCTTCCTATTGTCTGCACTTATCGCTCCGCTCTACCAACATCTGTTTCTATTTATCTCCCCCGCTCCATCCTGAACTGGTTGAAGGTAGGCACTACGCCTTTTTTCACTTTGCATGACAGAAACGCAAATGTTTTTAAATCCATGACTGAGTGGGTGGGTGAGCGGGTGGGCGGGTGGATAAACAATTCTCTGCCTAAGTATGAAAGAGATGGGTCAGATGTGATTGCACTTGTTTTATAAATTGGAGGCTCTGCATAGACCAGGTCTGGATAAAAACCACCTGAAATGAGTGTGCCCCGTGTCCATCTCTAAGCAAAATCGATTTCGCTATGGTCACATCACTATTTCAAGTCACCTTATGGAAGAAGCCTGTTCCCGCTGTCCTATGCAAGCAGCCACACCTCTGCACTTAACCTTACTTCCCTCTCAAACTCTACCTCACCAGAATTCAAGCTCCCCAGAGCATTACTTAATCTATCCCTGAGTTCCTGCTGAGTCTTGCCACGTGACTGACATGCAAATTACTGCTGGGGATTAGAGGAAACCTGCGCACAGCCTTTGGTTCATGTTAATCCCTTTTAGATGATAGGGAAGTCTAGACCACCCGTTCGCTGCCCAGTTAGAGTTGGCCCTAGGGCTCCATCCTTCTCCTTTGCTTCCCCGCCTTCTTCATCCTGGAGTTTAGGGAGCAGGTAAGCTCTCGGTAGACCAGCCAACCCTTTGGCCTATAGAATGTCTCGTATCCAGTATACTCCTCAGAAACTAGCTTTCTGTTCGCTCTGAGAGAGTTTTTGTCTTTGCAAAGGATGTGGCTTTTTCAGCTTCCACTGGTCCAGGAGCCTTGGAACCCTGCCAGGACCTGCAAGCCCACACCCCTTCTCACCCAGGTCAAGTGACAGCGATGCACAAAGCCAAGAGATTAGCAGGTAACGGGGGGGGGGGGGGGCGATGAGTGGGGGCAAAGCAAGAGGAGAATGAGGACTCTGAACAGATAAGCCTTGGTCAGGGCTGAATCCAGTTCACACAACTCTGTCCTGCTAGATTCCATCAGTGGGTAAATGAGACTTCAGTCAAGGGCTTTTCATTTAAATGATCTGCCCTTCTATGGGCAATTGAAAAAATATCCTAAATGATCAGCCCTTAGAGGAAATGAACAAATTGAACAACTATCCTAATAAACCACATGTGATTATTATTTTTCTGCGTCCCAGGCATAGTGGTATGCACTTACGATTCTGTCGCTCAAAAGGGGGAGACAGGAACATAATGAGTTCATGGCCATCCTGGGCTACAGAGTGAACTAATAATATTTCAAAGTAAATAAATAATTACGTAAATAAATGATTAACATGATAGCATGCATTTATTGCAAATGTTTTGAAAACCCTCATATTTTGAAATCCTTCTTCTCTAACATACTTTAAATTCATAATAGAAAATCTTAAAATTGGTGACTTTTTTTAAAGATTTTTTTTTTCTGAATGCCAGACTATTTTGCTATTTCTGAATGCTAAATACTTTGACTTTTGGAAACCAGAATTTGAAAGATGCCTTTTGTTCTCCTTATGTATGTGTAAAAATCAACTGCCATTGTTATGCTTGTTTAGTGAGGTGTCTCCTTTGAGCTGCTCCGCATTATTTTATAGTTGGTTCTGTTGTTTTCCTCATCAACAAATAAGTTCTTAAATGTAGGGGAAAATAACTTAGAAAAGCCTCAAATGGTAAAAAAAAAAAAAAAAAAAAACCTGCAATCCCACCATCCAGTCACATTCATGCTACACGTTCATGCTATTGTCTTAATTTGCTGTTTTAACCTGCTTTTCTCAGTGATAGTTGGCATAATGCTGTGGGCATTTTTCTGTCCGTAAGTGTTACTCTATCTCCTGAAAACTGTAGATGCTTACAAATATTCTGCATTCCATAATATATAATTAGCCACAACTGTCTCGTTACTGCCAAAATATCATTTTTTTTTAAAGACTGGGTCTTTCTGTATAGCTCAGACTGACCAGGAGCTCCCTATGCAGCCCAGGCTAGCCAATAATTGACAAGAAAAAGAAGTCTATACATGTTCAAAGTTGGTATAATTTTTTCCTGAATAGTCTCCATGTTTGGCTAGTTGGGTGAAAGCAGAGGTCTGACTATGCCATATAAAGACGTCCTGAGCTCTGTGGTCACCCTGATTGTCCTCTTATAAATGACACTAAAACAGAAAAAAGTATGGCATTCCACCACCTTGACTAGTGTCAAGAGTTGCCTGAAAGAGAGACCGTGCTGATCATGGAACCTGCTTGCCAACTGGGTGAAGGAATGTGCCAGAACATACCCAGAAAGACACAGATCTCTTAGGACAAAACTTTGTCACTGTGTGTTATGGAAGGTGTTCACTTGTAACAGTGAACTTGGGCTTCCTAAATGCAATAGAGAAGGGATCGATTATAAGAATACAATCAATGGATAGTTTAAAATGTTGTCTATAACTAATGCTGTGTTTGGCTCCAATCTATTTAATCTACCACACTACTGTGTCTGTCTTCCTCCATCATATCCCAGTTCCCACACATGGCCCGTGGCTTTTCTCCAGTCAGTTTGGAAGGTATCTTCTTCTGCTGCTAGTGTAGCAAAGCTACAAAGGCTGGTTCTGGAAATGCTTTAAGAGAGCTCATATTAAAGAATCAAGCATTCCTTACCATGCTTCTAGGAAACGGCGCTGTGAAGCAGCGGTTTCTCAGCCTGTGGGTCACGACCCCTTTGAAGGGTCAAATGACTTTTGCACAGGGGTCACCTGAGACCATCAGAAAACACAGATATCTACATTATGATTCACAGCAGTAGCAAAATTATAGTTATAAAGTAGCAACAAAAATACGTTTATGGTTGGGGGTTACCACAGCATGAGGAGCTGTGTTAAAAAGTGGCAGGGTTAGGAAATCTGGGACCACTGAGAGACAGACTGAACGTGAATAAATGGTTAGAACTGAGTGGTGCAGGAGAATTGTCTGTATTCTGTCAAGCTGCTTATTTTGAATAAACGCTGATTGGCCAGGCAGGAAGTATAGGCGGGTCAACCAGACAGGAAGTAGAGGCGGAGCAATGAGAACAGGAGAATGTTAGGAAGGAGGAAGCCCATTCCTCCCAGTTCTTCCCAGACCACTGGAGAAGCAACATGTGGCCTGCCCAGCTGAGAAAGGTACTGAGCCATGTGGCTAACATAGATAAAAATAATGGGTTAATATAAGGTACAAGAGCTAATAAGTAGTCTCAACTAATGGGCCAATGAGTTTTATAACTTAAGGAGATCTCTGTGTGATTTTCTTTCAGCTTGCTGGTTGTGGGGTACTGGGTGGGACAGAAACCCCAACAAGCAGGCCCCCTCATGTTACAACAGAGGACAGTCTTTCTGCCTTACTAAGACGGAAGAAGCCTCACTCTCTTCAAGATGGACTGTGGGCTCCCAGTGTAAGTATCCTTTAAACAGTGGCATTGGCCAATAAAGGCCATGTTCTGACTTCGGTGTGCTGCCCTCTCCGTCAGCAGTCACCCACTCCTTCACAAAGTTTTGAGGCAGCAACAATGACCATGTAATCAGCATGTCTTCTTTTTCTCCAGCTTCACTGGCAATTGTCCCTAGCCTCTTCTTAAATAAAATGGCTCATACCCACCTCTTATTCTTCTGCTTCTGAAATTTCTAATTAAGCCTAGCATTGTCAAGTCCTACATGAATGTGCATGACCAGTCTTCCTTACGATACTAAAATGGGTTCATGCCATTATGACTTTCTAAGAATATATTCTTTGGCTCTTCCTAGGGACCTAGGTCACTGATGTCTTCTAGAGAGGGCTAAAAGGTGGCTTAAGGGAGCTGGAGAGATGGTTCAGTGGTTAATAGTTAATACACCTGTCACAGAGGACCTGTGTTCATTTCTTACCACCTACATTGGTCACCTCACAACCTCCTGCCGTTCATCCCCAAGGTATCTGAGGCCCTCCACTATCCTCTGCAGGCAGCTGCCCCACGCACACACATAACTATATAATTTAGAAAGAAAGTATCTTTAACAGTGGTTTTACTCTAGTACATTATAGAGCTAGGAAATAGGGTTTCCTAGCTTCATAGATGATTTTGCCTTTCGTCCAGGAGAGGAAAGCCCCCCAGCCATCCCGCCGTCAGAGTGAACTGTCAAGAACAGACACAAAGGTTCTGCTGAGCTCTGATCGCCTCCAAACTCAGCTAGGACAGTGACAACTGTCGTCGCTGAAACCCATCAGAAGCTGACAAGCTACTCCTTCTAGTCGGGCAGCTAGCAGGTAGAGCATGTCATAAGAAAACCAACCTCGGCGGCAACAAAAGTGCACTGGTGATATTGTTCTTCCATCCCATGTAGGACCCTGAAAAGCAACCGTCGAACACAATCGGCCTTCAAATGCACTGCAGCAATGTGACCAAGTTAGGGGCTGACAGCTGATTAAACTAAGATCGTTTTAAACTTCAACCATGGAAACCAAAGCAAGGAATCTCGAAGAATGATGTTAAACCCTTCTTCTTCTCGACCAGGGATGTCTTAGAGGTCAGGGTCAAACAGATCCTTGACCAAGCCAAACCCAAAGAAGAATTGTAAGGCAAAATGTCAACTCTTGCCCAATGCTTGCTGCTAAAGAAATTCTTCAAGACCCTGGAATCTTAAGTAATTTCTTTTCAACCCATAGCATGTGGCCTGCGTTTGCAATCTAGAACTTAAATTGGGTTCTTGCTTGTCGTCAGAAGATCCCAACAAACAAGAGAGGTCATAAATAGACTGGGGGAACAACAGGGAACTGGATAGTTTTAATATTTTTCCTCTAAAACGGAAAGGAAAGACACCAGCTGACACGGATCTCTCAAATCCGGCCAGCAACTTCTTGGACTATGTCTAATTGTGATTTGCATGGTGGGGTTTTATTTGTTTTATTGCCCAAATTCTAAGGTTCCAATTTCCCAGTCTAATGCTAAACAGCTTGCTGGCACTCTGTGGCTAAGAGGGGTTCCACAGAGCCAGTGAATTTTGGACTCGGGAAGAAAAATGAATCAAATCATCTCATTTCAATAAGCTAAGGCCAGAGAACTGAGGTGTCAAGAAGAGCTTTGAAGCTTCAGACTGTGGGTGGACCTGGCTCTCCTTCCTGCGTGTGCCATCAGGACAGGGTTTCTTAACCTAGCCATCTTAGTTTCTTCAATTACAAAATGAAGATAAGAATACAACCCTTTGGGTTATTGAGGAGGGATATACAAAAGAAAAATATTTAGCTGCATTCTTATACATACTTAAAATGGTCAATAAATTATTTTATTGCTTTTTCATCAGCAGTACCTGGCATTTGCTGTTAGTAAGAAAGATGGGTTTTAGTATAGTTATTATATTAGTACTATTTTTACAGATTGAGGTAGCAGAGGTTACTTATTTAAAAAGTAGATGTAGTAGTGCATATTTTTAATCCCAGGATGCAGAGGCAGGCAGATCTCTGTGAGTTTCAGGCAAGCCACTGAGGACTTGTTTGGGAAAAAAAAAAGGAAGGCGAGAAAGAAAGAGGGGGAGATAGAGGCTTAGAACCCCATGATCTAAAATCTAAATAAATAACATTTAAGTCATCCAAAATATTAATCCCATTTAGGATCACAGACTGAATATCCTTAGTCAGGAATTTTTTGCAGAAGAGCCACAGTTTCCCATTCTAGGCACTGAGTATGCATACAACCAAGAAACAAGCATATTCTTATAGCTCCAACAGAGCTCTTGGAAAGACTGTAGCTGCTGTCACACAAACATACAAGCCAGGAACTATTGTAGCAGCTTCCTGAGTTGAATGTGTGTGTGTGTGTGTGTGTGTGTGTGTGTGTGTGTAAAACGCATATCCACGTTTTGTGGAGTAACACTTATACTAACTATTTATGGATACAGGGAAGCTAGTTGGCTGCTCTGGAAAGCATTGCAAAGGTTCCTGTTTCCTTGGACTTCCATTTTTGTAGCTGTCATTGCTTTTGATCTGACGTCGGGGCACCCAAACTATGAAGCACACATGAACTGAATGGCACAGTTCTGGTTACAAAGCAGCTCCAGATCTACCATGGCCATGTGAGGATGATGCTACCAGTCTCAGGATCTCACTCAGCAGCATTGCAGGACTCACCTGAATACACTTTGGGTCATGTCTACTAAGATGGGTACTTAGGAAGCAGAGTCACCTGGGAAACAGAAGCAAAGACATCTGCTGAGACTGAGCACAAGGCTGCACACTATAGATGCAAGGCACACCTGGCCAGAAAGAAATGCACAAGAGAAGCGCCGAGTCTCCTTGCCAAAGGATGGCCTAGGCCTCGGTCTTGCCCAAGAAACAGGCTAGTTCCTTAGCCTCTGATAACCTCAAGAAACTGAAGCCCTCAGGATCCTTTAAGTGATTCCAGGACAGAGGATATAGGAAGATTCCAGGACAGGGGACCAGAATGGCAACAGATCCCTCCACAGTAACAGGAGTCCTTTAAAGACCTCCACCCAGAGGTACCAAAAGATGATTTTGAAGACTGACTTGCCCCGATTATTAAGACTCACAGTCTAAAAAAAAAAAAAAAAAAAAAAAAAAAAAAACCTCTTTGAACTGGTTTTGCAAACTTTCCTGCTTCTAGATTTTTTTGTTTGTTTGCTTTTTGTTGTTGTTTTTTTTTAAAAAAGCCAACAAAAGAGAAAATCATATTTCCCCATGAAAGGTAGACTCCTGATTGGCACTAAAAGTTCCTTGTCTTACGCCCACCAAGTGATGGCTCAGTTTCCCCTGGAGGTTCAGGAACCACTCCTACACCATGGGGCCATCAAATCCATCACCTTCTGCTACAAGGAAGAAAAAAATGATCACAAACATTCTTCCCTCTCCCCAACTCTGCTCGAGACCCTGTTTTGTTTGGTGTTACTAGAATTCAGAAAACATTCATAGACTGTATCACACCATTTAAAATTGTATTGTCTTTTATTTTCAACTTTTCCCAGCAAAATATTGCTTTCTAAAGTAAATTATATAAAATTGAAAGTATGTTCATAGATATATTCTGCAGCCCTCTCTAAACAAGGCAGGGCACAAAGCAGAAGCAGGGCTCAGTGACCGTGCTGGGATGGATGGCTCACCCAGGCATTCCAGACATGCAGTTTTCTCCAGAATCACTGTCTTCTCAGCAAGTGGTAATTAATTTACAAATCCATCTTTGGAAAACAGGCCTGATCCCCAATACTCTCCCAGATACCTTGCAAAACCCTAGCGGCTTTTGTATGTCTTGGAGTTTCTGCTTCCTGTGATTGGAAACCCAGTCCTGGGTTCTCGTTTCCTTGATTCTGATCTGGTCCCATCAAGAGCTCACCCTGGTGATTTAAAGGAAGAGATCCATGTAGAGCACCTCAAATCCAACTGCACCCCGCTAGGTGAACACAAGCTCCTCCAGTGAAGGAGTTAGTTAAGTTAAAAAGAGTCCTGTGACCCTATACTGCCTCAGTAGAGTTAAGGAGGCCAAGGAGGATCTCACACAGAAGTTTCCCCAGGATTAAAGAAACAACTGTCGCCTTAAATGTCATTAAATTGCTGCTTCAAATATAAATACCACTCATATACTAAATGCTTTAAAATTCTCATGAAGCAGAAAGAAGGAGGGAAGAAGGAAGGGACAGAAGGGGGCAGAAGAAGGAAGGGAGGGAGCAAGCCCCAAGTTTTGACACATACCCATCTCTTCTGCTACTTGATGTGAGCCGCTGAGGAATTATAATAGGCAATTAGAAAAGGGTCATTGCCAGGGACTGTGTGTGTGTCTGTTCATTAAGAAATGAAGTTACAAGACCACACCTAAAAAGAAGACAGGAAAGCACAAGGGTGTTGGTGTTGAGATGGATTCCCTAAGGAAAGGAGGAAGGCGATGAGGTTGACTACAATTCTTTATAGAAATATATGAAACTGTCAATTACTTAAAAAAACATCAGGTTCAGCAGAACCATAGTTAAGGGTGAGAAATTCGCCCACACACTGAGGCTATCTGTGATCACAGGCAGAAATCTGTGCCCAGGACCTGTCCCCAACACGTTTGTTTGCCTTAGCCCAGCCCTCCCCTCAGAACCTGCACCCACACACCCAATGTCTTCCGATACCGATATTTCTTCAGACTACACTGGCCCTGTTGACTCTTTTATTTTTCAAAGATCTATGCTGCTTACTTATAGACTGCCCTCTTTGTAAACTAGGTGGGGCATCAGTAATCACTTGCATTTTAAAGACAATAAAAGCGGGATATGTTCATTCAGTAACCTGTCCTCCCTTACAAAGGCTGCCGTGCATAGAATCCAAGCACTTACCCACTTATCTCCTTCCTAATTTCAGCACTGACCCTCCTGGTCTTTGAACTCTATCCTTCTTAGGAATTTGAAGAGGCAATTGGAAGTGTGGGCTTAGAAGAGACTCCAAGGTCACCCTGCCAGGTGCTAGGGGATTGCCCCACTTTCCCAGATTCTGCTCTAGCCCTCCCTGGCACCTCTGGCAACTAGCACTTGGGTGTAAGGTGCCTTGTGAAGCGAAGAGCCCCTTGATAATCAGACACGCGTCCCCAGCAGCAGATTCAAGACCGAAGAGGCGGAGTGGCTGCAGCCTGCAGTTTGTTATTCCACTACTGACTGGTTAGTATAGAAGCTGTCAATTTACGATTAAAAAAGCGGCATGTTTCTTTGAATATTAATATTAATAACTGCAATAGTTAACACATGAAAAGACCTTTTCATCTTCAAAGCACTTCTCGCAAATTAACCCCTTACAGCTCTCTCTGGCCTGGGTTCTGGGAACAGCAGGTAAACTAGAGGAATAGAGGCCACCCAGCCCGCCCTGCGTGATCTGGAGCCTGCCGAACCAAAGGAGTTTCTCACTAGATTAAAAAGGTGCTGAAGTAATCCAGACCCCAGTTGATGAAAGAGTTAAAAGTGTCAGTAATTTTACAAATCAAACGGAGAGGCCAGAGAGAGGTACGTTTCAGGATCTGAATTTCCTGTTGTTTCCCACCCAGTTCCATGCAGTGATACAAAGTCGGAAGGAAAACAGCTTTGGGATGAAAATCAAAAAAGATGGGGGGAGCCTTACAATGGAATATCATGATCTCGCGCCACCCAGCATCTTTGGACAGTCCCCTCGCAGCAAAGTCTGCTTTGAAAAGTTATAGCAGACATTCTTAGAGTAACAAGAAGACATTTGGAAAGTGGAATAGATGTCCCAACTCCAGCCTCCCTCGGTAGCTGGGGCCCAATCCCTCAGTGCAAGGAAGAAGACCCCTCTAACCTGCAGACACCCCCACAACTACTGACCTACAGGGCTTGCAAGAATTCTCGGGCTTTTGCAGGACGTAAGTCACAAGGCAGAAGAAAGGACCCAATAGGCTGGCTTGCCTTCAGAAGGTCCTAATGGAGAGCGATTTACCCCCCCCCCCCCACACACACACACCGTGAAAGTCATTCATAAAATCGCTGGTAAGGGGGAAGGGGCAGGAAAGGCAAAACAGTAGACTTTCACCGAGAAGGAAAAAAAGAAAAGCAAGTTTTTAAGTGCAGTTTTATTTCTCCGGAAGGGTCTGCAAAGGACATTCACGTTGTGAAGTGTCATTTGCAAGGATTTACAATGTGAGTGGTTTTGCCTTTGGGGGCGGGGGTGACAAGAGTCCTGATTTTGAGCTTGTTTAATGAGGTTGGGAAATAATTTTAAAAAGCATTGTTAAACAATGTAGAAGGTAAATAAGGAAAGATGTTTTTAGGAAAGGAAGAGAAACTTGCTGTTCCTTAAAACTTTCCCAGTTTACCCATTAATTCATAAAACATAGGGGAGTAGAGGGAAAATGGGATGAAAGTTTTCAACAGAAACTCAGCCCTCACTTACGACTTTGCCGGAGAGTTGGGCGAGGAACGAAGTGAGCTTCTCCGAAGGTCCGCGGGCTCTTTCCAGCTACTACCTGCGCGAATCCTCCGCTCCAGGCTAAAGAGGATGCAGAGACCATAATGCTCCTAATAGAGCTGCCTCCTGAAATGGGAGGTGTGGTCAAGCAAGGGAAGCAGAAGAGGCGGTCTCCAGGCAGCCTCTGGCACTAGGGCAGCGGTCAAAAGCCCAGCAAATAGTGTCGCTGTCTGTGGCAGCCCCAAATCACACCTGATTATTTTTATCCTTCAAGTGATACCTCAAATAAATATAACTGAGCCAGGGGCATAGTTGGGAGGAAGGTGAACCAAGGAGAGCAAGCTAGTTACTTGGGGGTGCTCTACTAGACATGTGATTAGTTCTATTCCGTGTGGTTTGACTTTCTCAGTGGAACTGCGTTCACCTAGGCTATGAGTCGGGGTAGGGGCGGGTTTGCTGTAAAATCACTCAGGGGAATGTCTCCAGTCTCTCACTGTCTCGGGGGAATGCCTCCTGCCTCTTGCTCACCTGGACTTAGGTTTCTTGTTGTTCTTTATTAACCTGATGTGCGAAGTGTGCATGGTTCACACTGGGTGTCTGCTGATTGATAACCACGTGTGTACGCTGAACATCACAGTGCATTCCTTCACAAAAATCCAAGGATTTGGGTCCATATCATGCGAGATGATCTCACCAGCCTCCACTCTCGAACCAGGTTTGATAGAAATGTAGTCACATTGTCCTGATTGTATGTGGAGGGGAGATGGCTAAACCGGAAGCTGGGGTTTCTGAAGAATAAAGCTCAAGTGTCTCTTCACATAAACCTGGCTCCAGGTGACCTTTGCCACGGAAGAGCATTAGTGGTTCTGATGACTTTGGTGATGCCGGCCATAGGTAAAAATTAAAAGTGGCCCTGGTGGTTTCAGGTGATGCCTAACATCACCTAAGACGAACATCCGTGGTTCTGATGGCTTCAAGTGATTTCTGGCATAGGTGAGCATTGGCAGATCTGACTTTTCTATGACGTCGGGATTAAAAGGCAGAAATATTAACATGTATCATTTTGAGACAATAAAAGCAACACGGAAGCCTAGAAGCCACTCTAGATAAACGCGCACAGCATCTTTTCTTCACTTTTCATTCACAGGGATGATGATAAGAATGTCAAAGAGAAATCTCATTTCTGTGACCAGAGAAACATTGGGAAAGTCTTTATCTGCCTGCAGTTCCAAGACTTTGACCCTAAGATTCCATTTATATTGAGTAATGGATGAGTCAAGATTTGCACAATTGCTTCCTTTCCTTCTTAGTGAAGACACAAATACTCCACTTGGAAGTCCACAAAGACCTTCAGCGTCATTCAGAAAATCATCGTGTTTATCCTTCGTCGTACATGTTAGTAGCGCAGTTCCCATAAGCTTGTGGCTGAAACAGTATTTAACACTCATGCTTCTCTCCCGTGTATTAACATGACTTGGATGAAAGCCACGCTTTGCTATTGGCTCAGTCCGTTTAGTTTAATAAATGTCTACACCCGGCACTGTTCTCAGGACGAGGAATCTAACCAGATCGCGTTGCTGTGAGAAGAGACACACACAAGCCAGTCATCTTCAGAGAGCATAATGTCAGCTGTGAGAGACATCTATGAAGCTAAGCAACTTCGGCCTGTCAGTTAGTTCCGGCGTGCTGCCCAGCTTCAACAGGGCATGGTCAATTAAATCCGTCACAAGTATTTGTAATCGTAACCACTATGTGTACAAGATGACTGGAAAAAAATAGATGTCCATTTTTGTTCTCTCAAAGTATATGACATAATTGAGAGACTTTTTTTGCCCTGCACTTGTAGAATTCATATACAGTCACCTGTAGGACCTTAGGGCTATCCTCTTCTGCAACCTGTCACAGTACAGAGGAGAGGAGAAATCCAAATGGTAAAAAAGAAGCCATTGCTAGCACAACGTGCCTAGCCTCTAGGCCCTAGAGAGTGAATACTCAAGAAAGCAGAACGTTCTATTTTTGACAGTATCTTCAGAAACACAGCATTGGAGAGATATCTACGTACAAAAGAAGTGG